ACTCTACTAAGCCATCCAGCATCACCCGCTCCCACCGCCAGTAATCTGGTCCACGTTCCGCCCGACGCTGGTGTTTGGAAATAGTTTGATGCAATGGGTGGATGGATGGATGGATGGATGGATGGATGGATAATGTGCTTCCTGCATGCAGATATTACCTGCCAGAATGAGATGGGAAAGATGGGGTATCATCCGTTTCGCGAATTGAAAGAAGGAGAGAAAGGAAATTGTGGGAAGCAAATCAGAACGAGCACCTTTTTGACACTTGGTTGTCCCTGATTTGCAGTGTGACACAAGCCAGCTAGCAAGTGGCGTCTCAACTCGAACCGGATTCCTAACCTGGATCAGACTGCATTGCACCTCCTTTGATTTGCCTTCCCCTTTCCCACACCAAAGTCCGAAATATAGATCTGCCCACAATCAGAGGGTGTTCACCACTCCGACGATAGCGGAGAACACAAGCTAATGACCCACCCGCGCGAATAGAACTTTCTGAGATTCTGCTTACACGCGGCATCCACCTGGAGCTCACTGGATCGGCACTCCGCATCTTGTGAGTGACAAAACCCCGCGGCCGCAACCTACTTTCCCACACTTGTCTGACGTGCCTTGCGAGCAGGCCCCACAAAAGCCTCGAAAACTGGCCGACATGAACACCACGACCGAGGCGCGTGGACCGGTCGACCCGTCAACTCCACCCGAGTCGCCGAACAAAACAATGTCTGCTCTCGTGGTTGCAGGAGACGCAGGCCCGAGAAAGTTGGTAAGCTCGACACCACTGACCCCCGCTCGGAAGGTTGTGAACTTCTGCTCATACACTTCTTAACCGCGCGCAGTATGTTGGGAATTTGGACAAACGCGTCACAGAGCCCATGCTGCAAAACTTCTTCGAACCGCAGGGTCAGGTTCTGTCAGTCAAAATTGTGGAGTATAACATTGTATGTGGGAAGTCGTAGGCGGGGGAATGTTTTTGAAGTATTCACCACTCAACGGCGCGTGTTTTTGTGCAGAAGAACCGCCATACCACGAACTACGGCTTTGTTGAATTTGAGGACCATAAACACGCTTCTGCAGCTCGTGAACAGTTGAACCATAAATTTCTGTTGGATGAGGTAAAGTTTTGCATCTTTGTTGTTCAACACTCGATCAAACGGCAGAACCAACAATACTAATGAGCGAACGATCTTCTCCCAAAAAAGAGTGTCAAGATCAGCTGGGCCTTCCGCTCCGACCAGTCAAAGCCTGGGCTTTCAGTTCCACAGTCAAGTGCACTTTTCATTGGCGACTTGAGTGCAGAAGTTACGAGCGAGATGTTGAGTGCGGTCTTTGTTGAGTTTGGGAGTTTATTGTGAGTACTCTCAAGGAGAATACTTCCTCTTGCACAATAGAAATTGGCTAACACATTCGTTTCCTCCAGCGATGCGAGGGTGTTGACTGACCCTGACACAGGACAATCACGAGGTTATGGATTCGTGACGTTCCACCACAAAGCAGTGAGTGACAGCGACGCTAAACGATATGCGCGCTTGCAGAATGGAAATCTTACATATGAGACAGGACGCGGAGAAGGCCTTGAAAAGCATGAACGGGCAAGAATTGGCAAACCAGCCGATGCGGGTGAACTGGGCTAGGACCAGGCCACAGAATCAGGTCGATATGCAGCCGTTTGGCAACAAGAATGGTATGGTCAGATTCCCACCGAAGTATGGTAAGTGTGAGCTTTCGGCGTGGAATTGGCCGTTTGCTTCCGAAATGTTTGAAACTCAATATCAATATCAAATGCTCCCTCACATCAGGTCACCAACCGTTACGCGCAAACACGTACCCGCCCATGGTTCAATACCGCCCAATAAATGATCGCGTCATTTACGTGGGAAACCTTTCGCCAGATTGTCAACGTATGTGATGTGTGACTTGATCCGGTGCGCTTGTGATGGATGTTGATACCTTTCTCATTCTCAGACCATCATTTGGCATCGCTGTTCAAGCCATACGGAACGATCTTGGAGACTCGTATCATTGAGGATAAAGGTTATGGATTCATGACGTAGGCATTCCCATGATGCGTGTGCTGCCTTTGTGTCACGTGCTGTGGGAGATATTTACGCGGCATCAACTCTTATCAGGATGGACACGCATGAAAATGCCGCGCGAGCGATTGCCGAGCTGGACGGCCAAGCGATCAATGGACGACGAATCAAGGTGTGTATCAGTGGCAACCATCAATGCGCAGTCTATCACCCAGTCTGATTGTTTCCGCCCGCGTCATCAGTGCTCATGGGGCCGAAGTCGCACCCCACCCCGCATCAACTACCAACACCAAGCAGCTTACACCTACCCACCTATATACTACTACGGCAACTACCACCCTCCAGCCGGCCCCGGCGTCCCCATGGCTCCAATCCCAGGAGCCTACGCAAACGGATACGACACCAGCGGGTCGGCGACAGGAGATACGACGCCTGTGAACGAATCGCCCGAGGCGGGCAACGATGCTGTTGACGCGGGCGCGTTGGTGCTTCAGCAACAGCAACAACCCATTACTGACGGATTGCCGATGACGAATGGATGGAGACCGCCAAGGCCAAGGGTACCGCCTCACGCGGCTGCTGCGGCGATGGGGAACGGAGCTGGACCCGTGCCGGTTGTGCCGTATGGGTATCCGTACTACCATCCGGCCCCGCATGCGCAGCCCGTGTATTATCAGCCGAGTTGACGGGTTGGGATGGGGAGGGGGGTGGATGACGTGAGGGACAATGTGCTTTTGTCTGTTCATATTTTGTGATGTGGTCTTTTTGCCTGGGGTCGATTGAATGACGCCTGGGTTTTGTATATACTTTGGAAGCACCAGCGTGAGGAAAGGCGGCGCAAACTAACTTGCATACCTTAATTTGGGAGAAACCACTTGATTGTGCGGATTAGGGGTATTGTAAAAGTCCAATATCAAAAAAGCTGTTTCACGTCCAGTCGTTTTGTTGCTCCACGCGTCGAAAGTCCTCTTTAAGCTTGCTCATGGACTTTGTGCGGGTTTTGGATGATCTCAATGAAAATTTGATGAAGGAACAGTTGGCACTTTTGGACGATAGAGAAGGGTTCAACATTATTTGGGGGCGCGTGACGGGAGACGGGCGGTTTGTAATATAATACAAAGAAGGACGGATAATGGCGGTATGTGGTAGCCCGCGCAGATGGTGGGTGGAAAATCATTGAACGGGGCTGAAATGCATAACTAGGACTCGCCGAATAAGCGTTGTACTCGTTTGAGGACAGAGTCCTATTGATGGAGGAAGATGCCAGTGAGTATGATGACCTTCGAAGCCACAGGTCTGGCATGCGGGCAGCAGGAAGGGACATGTTTCATGCAACCTGTCCTTGCCACTCATCCCAATTTGAGCATCCCCATCCCCACGCTCTCGTCGTGAGACCCCTCCTTCAACATCACCAACACCCAAACCCCGAGCAACGCTCCGCATAACGCCCACGTAGGTAATACCAAATGTTCCTGACAAAAGTCCGCACCTTTGATGGATCGTATGGATGATCCTTTGAAGGGATTTCCAGGATTGTGGGGAATGCTTGGGTATAGGTGTCGATGAGCTCGCGGATTTGGTCTGCGACCTGGTTTTGGAAGGGGAGGGGGTTTATATGGAAGCGATTTGCGCGAACGTTGATGCATGAAAGAGAGGTAACTTGGGGCAGAACATTGCCCAAGGGATTATCAAGGTGAGACGCACCTGCTGTGTGATGAGAATGATGGCAACGTCCTTGCGTTTCGAGAATTCTTGGAAGGCTTCTTCGATTTTTGGGAGGGGTGTTTCTGGGTGCAGAGGAGAGCAGGGAAGCGGTTTGGTGTTTGAGGGGTTGGAACATCGTCTTCGCGTCCGGCTGCGAACGTAGTCTCAAAATTTACTCACTTGCGTCTACAACCAAGAAGTTGGCTTTTTGCTTGGAGTCAATATGGCCTGTGCCTGCTAGGAGAATGCCCGTTACACTGTCCTGGTACGGCGCACAGGGAACGCGTATTAGGGTGACGACTCCGAGCCAGGCCGTAAAGTGTAAAATATCGAAAGTTACGTACCTCATCTCCAATGACAGCAATCAGCGACCGATCTTTTTGCAAGAGAGACATTGAGGTATGAAACGGTTGTGAAAGTACAAGGAGTTGTGTTGTGGGCGGATGGATGTTGGGTGCGAGGGGGAGATGACCGATAGAGTTGCAGGGGTTGGTGTGGTTTCAAACAAGACACCAAATAGCCAGGAATAGCTTTCGGAGGTGGGTAAATAAGGGGTCCTATCCGGAAATGTGGGCAATGTTGACAGAACTACAATGCGATGGATATTTTTCACAGCAACGGCTCATCACCTTCCAACAATGGCTCTCGCAATTTCGTTGCATTGGAGGACGTTGCTACAATGAAGGACATCCGCACGCCTCACGAAAGATGGCAATCATTGCTCTCAAGCTCTTTGGCGACCTCATCAGTTTGGAGGACATGGTTATGATGAAGAATGTCCATACCATGCCTGATGAAAGATGGCAACGATCGCTCTTGTAATCTTGTTACCCTGAAGGACGTTGTTGCATGAAGATGTCTCGTGACAAGGGTCGTTTTCACTATCTCCTTACATCGGAGGACGTCATTACAACAAAGGACGTCCAGACGGCGCCTTATGAAAGATGCAACGATCGCTCTCGTGATCTTGTTACTTTGCAGGCTTTCCAAATGAGGACGGCTGACGTCCACACCACGCAGATTACTCATACCAAGCCTCATGAATGATGGCAGCGATGGCTCTCCCAAGCTTGATATATTGAAGGGAATTGTTTCGATGTAAAACGCACCTACCGCGCCTTATCAAAGATGCAAGAAGAAGCAGGTTTGGGCGTCCATACGGCGTCTTTATGGAGGGGCAAAATGAAGAAGCACACGTTTATTATGGCATCAGGCGATCATGGGGGGCTCTCTGGTCGGACGATGGCAACTGTGTTCAATCAAAAATGCTCCTGGCGAGGATCGAACTCGCGATCTTCGCGTTGCATACAGAGAACATCTATATAAGCACGACGCTTTGGGCCAACTAAGCCACAGGAGCTATTGTCAATCATTGGCAAAATGTAAATTCTACAGGAAAAGATTTTTTGTCAAACATGTTTGACTTGATGAATTCGCGCAGTCAGCCCTGCTTCACACTTCTTTTTGCCTCTAGGTTGCTCACAGGCCACAGGAGCTAGGTGCAAGTTTTGTGCGCTTTTTGACATTTTATTGGTAGATTGCGTTTCCTCCGGGATCATCTGGTGACCTTCTTCCATTTTGAGTCTGGAGACAAGTTGGCTACTTGGGGTGAAGCGGGTTGAAAGGAGAGTTGAATGTTCGTATGATATTTTTGGTCGGTTAATGCGACTTTGCCACAGGAGCGGATATAGGAGCTAGGTGAAATCTATTAAAATTTTATAATCAGTATTGGAAAGTGACAATTTGTTAAGAGGCGCTTCATTGTCTATGTTCAGAGTTCAAAGTGCATAATATTCTACTTATTTCCGCACCTTTTGTTTTACCATGTCGCACATGACTGTCCGCTCTTTCTATATGCCTTCATGTCCAGGAATGTGTATCAATGAGATCTCGGTTGTACTAATAAGCCCTCATCTATGTCATCTGGGGAGTTCTACATTTGCGGGCAATGTACGTCATATGAGACGCGACCTGATCATGCAGCTGATGGAGGACGCGTCTGGTTCTGGTCAGCAGTCAAAGCGCGGCTTTTTGACACCCTGCTCCTGCTCGGCAGTCTCTGCTTCTGTACGAGCATAAATAAAGTAAACGCACACTAGAGACCACGATGCCCTCCAATATTGAGCGTTCAATGGAAGAAATGACTCTGATGGAAAACATGGTCGATAGTAAGGATCGGAATTTGCAGGCGCTTGTTCCTTCTGGACTCAGCCACAAAAACCTGGTTAGAGTGTGTTTGGAAATTTTAGCTCCCAATTTACATGTATAAGTCTCGTCAAGGGGCTGGAAACGCATTTGCGGTGATACCAGGGTTAAGCGGGATGTGCATAGGTATCTCAATCAAGCCGCTCTCATAATACAAGTGCTGCTCGAAAATTGCCAGCACAGGTCCATCTTGTCCGATATATCGGTCATGTTTGGCTCAGTTCTCGATGCTGACTCATCCTCATCCACGTTACTTCATTGATTTGCTTGCGATTTTTTGACTTATACTTGTAAGCAAGTAGGTTACCGTGTTGAAATTGAATGGTGTGCCACATGTCAGTCGGGACTCGAAACGCTGGGGTGTCTGCATGTTGACGCGTTGCGTGCAAGAGATGCAAGCCCTTAATTTGCTTTGAGCTTTCCGCAGGCAGGCCACCTCCGACAGTGTAACACAGAACGAGGCTTTTTGGCGCCATGCTCCTGTCGGAGGTTGGCTTGCATAAATTAAAATTCGGTCGCCATATCTGTGCCACCAGAGACCTTCGTCAACCCATCGTGTCCCCCTCGTTGAAAGTTCAATGGATTACTCTGACTGTGATGGATAACCATGGTTGATGAAAAGGACAGGGATGTGAGAGCATCTTATCAGTTTGGTTCTTTTCATCAAGTTTTCAAAACTTCAAATCGGCAAACATCACGAAGGTTCGCCGGACTCTCATCGACACCCTCACAGCCAAAGTACAGTTCATCAAATCTCACTCATACCCTACGCTATGGTCCTGTTCTGTATACCTCAACCTCCTCCACCTCGTCCATCTCTGAAAATTATCCTTCAGTCAATGAGGATGATGTCACGACAATTCGGTCAAGCAGCCAAAGAAGACACCCCGGTGGCAGGAGCGAGATTGGAGCAACTGGAAAATGAGGAGGTATAGGGCATTTGTAGTGAGAGGGTCATGAAAGAACTTGGAAGCGCGTGGGAAGACGGTTCGGTGGGAAATAGCGAGTTTTACGTGAAGAAATACGGTCCTTGGAAGGATGTCGGCGCTCACAGGAGGGGATTGTACATGATCGAGGTGGGGGGGAAGATCTACATTGGCGCAGCTTGGGGCAAGAGGGGAATCGTCAACAGGCTCAACAATCACTTCTGCGAGAAGCACCGTCAAACGCACTCGTCAAAGAAGTTGTATCAAGCGTGGAGAACGGACGCAACAGCCCACATTGTCATGTTGGTCGGCGACGACATCACCAACATTCAAATTCAGCTGCTCGAAACCATTGTTATCAATCTGTTCGGTGCGTTCAATCACCCGCATCTGATCAAAGCGCTGAAGGGAAGCCATCTCGAACCATGGGCGAAGCATTTGGAGGAGGGGAGAGGAGGATTGAACGGGACGGCGGGACTAGAAAGTGCTATCACGAGGGAGCAGGCTGCCAAGGGAGGTAGGATTGGCGGCAAGGCAGTCATGGCATCACAGAGGGCCGCAAATGGAGGCAAGACCACGCTCGAGATACTTCTCAAGGACCCCGCATTCCAAGCAAAGGCCGCTGCTGGGACGAAGAGGGTGGCGCACGAGAGGGCGGAAGAGCTCTTTCTTCGAGCTGTGGAAGAGGGAATGCCCGTCAATCCGAAAGATCCTGCAGGAACTCAGTGGCAGTTCAGCTGTTTCAATACTCGGGTAACGCATCGAGTCCCTTCATTTGCATTTCGTCCAAACTGATTTGGCCTCCCTTTATAATTCAACCTCTCCAAGCCCTTCGTTGAGAAATACACAGCCCTAGCCACTGCGTCGATTACGCTCCACATTTTCATTCCGCCCGAGCAAGAAGCCGGCGAACGGCGTTGGATCCACACCCCTCGCACCGATCACCAGCAACGGTTGCGTAACATCAAGATGACCCGGCGCCTCATCTTTTCGTTGCGTGCCACCTACCCGGATGGACGAAGCGAACAATACGACATTCACAAAACGAAGCCACGAGCGAAGGAGGAAGGGTATGCGGTTCTTCTGGAAAGTTTTGAGGGATACTTTGATGCCTTCGTGGCGGAGGGACGATTGGACGGGATTACGGGACGGCCGATCACGAAGGCGGCAAAAGTTACAGAAGAGTGAGTCAAGGACATAGTGGTAATATGGTGGGACTATTCTATTGTACAAATATATAGAAGTAATTATAGCGAATCTAGCAAAAGTACGGTATATGAACCTAAAATCTAAATGTATGTAGTCTATGTAGAAACAATCAGCGCCAATAGGATGTATAGTATGGCTATGGGAGTGTGCGAAGTGTGAGCCGGAGAAGGAAGGTGCTGTTATTGGAGCAGGAGAGAGGAAAGGCGAGGAGGATGAGGTGATACATAAGAAGCGGTCGTGCGAAATTGGGAGGAAGTCAAGGAGAGCAAGTTGAACTATCAATTGTGAATGAGTATGCAGAGTCGGATAAAACAGTCCCGAAGATGTAATGGCATGAGGGGACCATTTTATCTGTTGCACAGTTCGGTTTATACGTGTTACACTTATCTGGTCCCGTGGTGTCTTGTCGCCCCTGAGTGACGGCTCTGCTCCTTATTCTCACGTCACAGTAAACAAAACGCGTCTTTGACCCCATTGTTGTTTGTTTACAGTACTTTCGACTACGCCACAGATTTGGCCACAGGAGCTTGGTGAAATTTAGGAATACATGTTCCGTAAAAGATGTTGAAATGGCGTCTGTACGGAAAAAGTTTTCCCGTAAAACTGTAAAAATTGGAGTACAATCGCCAGGGAAAGTTTACGTAAAAATTGGCAAGTACCAGCCGGTTCCTTCTACTATCCCCGGGCGGTGTGTGCAGGAGCGGCCCAGGGAAGTAGGGGGAATCATCAAGAGGATACAGGAACACATCCCGGCTTGTTTTTTTTTTGGCAACTGCACGCCCTCACAAATTCAACCGACGCATTTGACTTAATCGGGGGAGGTCGCAGTGAACCTAATAGACCTACCAACGGATCTTGAAAAGTTGAAACGCAAAGCTGACGCCGGCCACGTGAAGGGCCGTCTTAGGGAAAACGCAGATTCGGAACGTGGCGAATAGGTTGAAACAAAAACAGAGCAGCACAGTATTGCAACCGCTTCACGCGACCAGGTATCCACGCTTGAAGAAGGGCGTCGCATCGATGGAAAAATCAAAGCCGCTCGCTACCCTCGCATCCCAGTGGAGCAAGACTCGAGCGGTGGCTGGCTTGTGAAGGCAAACTCCGATGCGGCTCCGATGAACCCTGTGCCACCTCGCTTGGGGACGCGTCCTCTGCTAACCTGGCCGCTAGCCTAAAGTCCGACCGACCTAACTATGGTGCTTGGCAGAGCCAAGGGTTGACCATAAAAGGCTACTCTTCCGGCGTGAACGCCTGGATGGATTGCATAACCATTTCAGCTACCAATTTTGAACATGCTGCTGGTAACATACAGCTCGTTTCAGTCTGTACAACCACTGAGCCCCTTGTTACCTCCTCCCTCTTCCGGCTCTCCACTCAGTGGGACCCAAGGCGTTGTGCTTATATAGATGTTCTCTGTATGCAACGCGAAGATCGCGAGTTCCATCCTCGCCAGGAGCACTTTTTGTGGTTGGATATTCCATCAAATGAATCCAGCTGAACGCCAAATGAGTCCAGCTGAACGCGCCCCATGCGGTTTTGATGCGCTTCGAAGGCCCATTCATCACTCTCTGCAGGTCCTGTCGCTTCTTTTCATTCTTTACATTCTCTTACGTTACTATATCTCTCTGGAACTTCATCTTTATGGTGGCCTGACGCGTCTTACAATGTAAAGGGGCCCTCTGACACCCAACTCGAACCGCTATGCAAACACAAAGATAATCAACAGACCAAGACTGGGGTTTTGTAAATTGAAAATCTTTTGGTGTGTGGAAACGTCCGGAGAGAAAGCTATGGACTGCGCGGTGCGCCTTATGGCTTGTGGGTGTCGGTGGGTGTCAGATGCAGCCATCAAATGAGGATTAAAAAGTACCAGAAGTGCCCCATAAGAACGTCGCGACGGGCACGCGCTGACGCATCGATTTGCCCATAAGCCGGGGTGGTGCAGAGCCTTCGGGCTGACGAGTCTGTATCCACACGGTGCACAAAATTCAATAGAATCCATGCGCTTTGCCATCCTTCC